TGAGAAAGCAGCAATGGGAGGTTGGACCTAATATACATGAAAGAGTATTTGTGAGGAAGGCTGAAGTGTGGAGAAATTAATCTTGACTTCAAAGTAGGGTTCAAAAGACTTTGGAGGCCTCAGCTTGATCTGAAATTAACAGGGATATTAAGGATTCCTAATGGCACACAGGGATGAGGAAAGCATCAGGGTGAAGAAAAGAATGTAAAATAAAATGAAAAACAGGCATGAGCAGCAGCTGAGCTAAAAGGGACAAAAAAAAAGGCAGAAGAAGCAGATTTGATACCTATTTTGTAAAACAGCTTGCTCAGATCCTTATGTAACCAGAAGACTGAAGTAGTTGTAGCTCTAATGGAGACCAAGTAATAGTTAAATATTTGAGAAAGTAGTTTAGTCATAGGGTGACTTTGGAATTCTAGCTTAAAGAGCTCCTATCCATTAACTGACCTCACTTGATCATATTGTAGGCCGTAGGTTTCTAAGAACTTAATTTTCTTCAAACGACAACTCAAATCATGATCTGCTGCCCATATATTTCAGTTAAGCCATTTCAAACCTTGTTTAAAAAGTAAGTTAAATTTTATTTGTCTTTTGTTAATTGGTATGTTAGTTACTCCAAGGCACTTATATTTTTCATTTCTTTATTATTACTTTCTTATTCATTATAATTTACTCTAATGACCAACTTTATCTGTTGCTATTGATGCCAGCAGCTCTAGAATGTTTAAAATGACTGCTCGTAGAATTTTAGCTATTTTGATCAGAAAACTATCTTTATAATGCAAGAGTTTGTAATTTGGGGTAATTTATTATATTATAGGAATTTATTATATTATAGTCTGACTGAAGATGCATCAAGTATAATTTCACCAGCAGAGAATCAATTACATAGAGAAGAAACCAAAGACTAAGGCTAGGAGATGAGTCACTTTGCTGCAATATTTTCCCCCAGCACTTTGAAAAGGATATTGAGCATAGATTAAAACAAAATGTGATGTTATTCCATACCTTTTATCTCTTCAATGAGTCTCAAAGTACCATTTGGCTGGGTTGAAGTATACTCCCTGACCCAGACATATAGCCGGTCACTTTCCTGACCACTATTATAGAAATAGAATTGTAAGCACTGAAGGCTTCTTTTGGGATACAGAATTCGGCTCTCAAGGATAGCTGTGCTTCCCTCTGCTCCGACGCTTGTGTCGAAATGCATGAAGTGCCCATAATCTGTCAAAAGTGAATTAGAAATGGCAGAGAAGAGAGAAAACAAAATTTTCCTAGTATACTTGTATTCTTAACACTATATTGTAATAATGCTAGAAGACATAGAATCATAGAATGTTAGGTTTTGGAAGGGACCTCTAGAGATCATCTCGTCCAACCCCCCTGCCAGAGCAGGATCCCCTAGGGCAGCCACACAGAAACGCGTCCAGGTGGGTTTTGAAAGTCTCCATAGAAGGAGACTCCACAACCTCTCTGGGCAGCCTGTGCCAGTGCTCTGTCACCCTCACAGTAAAGAAGTTTCTTCTCATGTTGAGACATGGTCAGGTCAAGTTAAGGTAGAACCTGTAAAAATCCTCAGACTGAGGACTGTTACCTGTTCACTTTCTCCAGAGGCAGAATTGTTGTCATGGCAACTTTTTCCCTCATCTTACTGTCTCTAGCAATTTGTACTCAGAAGTATGGGCTTTTACTCTTTACCCAGTACCAGTAACTCACAGCTGACTCCCTCTCTGGAGGACTGGTTTAAGCTCTTGAGCTCCTGAAGTTTTCTCTGACAGGTTCAGAAACAATTGGCTGTATTTCTCAATTAATTGTTCAACCAAGCCCTGATAATATACGTAATTTCTAAATTCCAATCCTTTCCAAAGAGTAACTGAGCAATTATTCAGAAAATCAGCAGACTTTCTGGTGTGCCTGTACCACAGAGTAGAACTTTTTATATAGTTCTTATTTCAGGATGCGACACTAAGACTAGGAAACAGATCAAAAAAGATAAGGACATCCAATCTTCTCAAATAAGCAAAAAATCTAACATATCACATGATGTCCATAGGCATGTGGATTTATGCTTCTTAGATAAAAGATATACCATAATTTGTGAACAAATAAACAGAGAACAAGGCCAAGATCAAAGTCAACTCACATGCCTCTGCAGAAAACACTTCCCATAGAGATAAGAATGTTTTTTTCTCATACCTTCGCATTCTCCCATATTAGTGTGATCAGTATTTGGCCCAGCAGGAACCTGAGACAAACGCTGCCAATCACTGTTATCATCTGAACTTTGAATCATGCCACATATATTTTCAAGCTCAAAACTGCACGTGTCCATGAAACTTAGGGAGGAGGCTATAATATTTAAAAACAAAACAAAGCAAAACATTAAAACATTGTGAATCTCTATTACATGGCATACATTTTAATTCTGAATGTCCAAAGGCAAGAGCAGGGCAAGACTAAATGCAAACACCAAATAATCAGTGGCTTCAAATACCATCAACATTTATAGGTGTAAAGTTCAGTAACTCAAGGCATTTGGCAATTAACACTGACATTAATAAGATGTCATCGAGACCACTCTGGGCACTTAGCAAGCACAGGAGGGTGCCAGCTAATTATCATATCACAGTTTTTATTTATAAAAGGAACACTAATACCAACCCCAAACCACAACCTTCACACAGACAAAAGATCCTGAGACTTCCCATTGATGCCTCTGCTTGCTTCGGGTCAGTCCACACATGGTCACAGAATTTGATAAAAGGTTACTGGAGTTCTTATTTTGAAATATATAGAGCAAAAGTTATTTCACTGCAATAAACAAACTGATTTTCAAAATGCTGAATTGAAAAAAAATTTGGCAAAGGTACATTTGGGACCAGTGTATATCTCATATAAATTTTTGAGATGTCTTGCACATGACAAGTGAAACTTTAAGTGAAGAAACACTGTGCAGTTGAAGAGGGAAGGGTTTCCCCTGTATGAAATGTTTTCTCTGTTTAAAGTACATCCTGGGTGAGTGAGGGAAGACACAGCCCAGCTTTACCCCTGTCCTGAGTTTTGTTACCCCTTATATCATGTCTGAACTCTGTTTAACACCAGCCATGATTTGAAAAAAAAAGTAAATTAACAAAATGCTTTTCAAACTATGCATGAAATAATGTGGCCAGTTTAAAAGTTTCACTGCACCACAGAAAGGACCTTGAGTAAGAGTCAAACCAAAAAAGTCAACCTCAAAGGCACACCAAGTGCTGTAGCTGTAGCTCAGGGAAGCACTTAAGTATGAACTGCTGTCAAATCAGTTGTACTGATAAGATATTTTGTACTGTCCTCATAAAAAGGTAACAATCCTCTAGAGATTGCAAGGCTATCACAAGTGTTGTGTGACTGCATGTTTTAGGATACAGTATTGGTATGATGTAAGAAGCAAGAAAAGATTTCCTAGTAAATTTTATATTGACTGATGGAGAAAGCAAAAAAAACCCAGAGAAACAGCTAGGGTGTCAGCAAGAAGGTAAGCAAAAATGGAGAACTATTAGATGAAAGAACCCTTTGAAATCAAAACATGAAATATGAAATCAGTTTGCCCAAACAGGACACAAGTAGTCTAACTACCTTAACTAGAAAGTGTTGGCTGGTATGGAATGGTGACCTAATGACAAGAAGAGAGAAAAGAAAGACCCAATAGCTTATGATGTGTTTCTTAGGTTAATTCCTGAAATAGTGGAGAGGGGCACTGCTTGAGGCGGGCTTTGAACTCCATCTGCACCAAAAGCCAGGTACTTTCTTGGAATGTAGTGAAAGGCTGGACTTGGAAGAAAATACATGGAGGAGGAGTGCCTAACCTCAAGTGGTTGAGGGAAACCTCCATTCTGTTAAGTGATATGCTAGAAGGGGAAGGCAGACTGAAATCCACTGTTATGACATGACCTGAAAGACAGTCCTGAAGAAGATATCAGAAGAGCACTAAAGTATCAGTCAGGGTTTCTGTGTTTTTCGGGTTTTTTTCAATATAAGAACCAACTTCCCACTTTTAATGCCATTTCCTAACCACACAGGCCTTTAGCAGAAATTCAGCTTAAGCTTTTCCTTAAATCATGTTCAGCAACAGGCGTAATCTTTTGGTTGCTCTGGGAGGATATCTGCCACCCAAACCCTGTTTAGCATTGTCAGTCTTCCCTCTGACTGGACAGCATCAGTCTAGCAGCTGGGTAGGTGAGGGCTGGGACATGCAAGGCATCCGTTGTGCCCGGCATAGGGGCCACACAGGTAAATGGTGAGTGATCTGAAGATCACTTATGGCTCTGCAAATACCGTGCACACTATACAAAGCCAAGTGATGGACGGGGGAGCAGTGCAGATCCTGATGGTGCTGAAGGTGGTGGCAGTTTAGTCACTAATACCCACAGGACTGGGGCTTATTTCACCCAGGGAATGTGCCTGTGGGTTAAGAATAAAGTTAAAATGTCATGAAGTATTTACACAGTGCACAAGAATGATGGAAAGCATATAAGAGTAATGAAGAGGAAGAAGAGCCTCATCCAATGTTAAAGATAGCCTTGGCTTTAAGCACTTCTTTAAGACCTGCCTGAGTGCCAAGTTCTGGAAGCTGAGGCTGCATGTAAGTGTGTGTTCAGTTTAGACCCACATGAACCGAAATATTTTCATGAGAATCATACACTCATAAAATTGCACTGTTTTAATAAAACAGTCTGATTATTATTTAAGATATCTGTAGAACAAGGCTTAAAATGTAATTGTAAACCAATAATCAGTATTTGGGATATTGAGGCAGTGAAGCAAAAGTTTTCAGAATTATAATTTTACAGAATTATATTTCAGTTTTGTAATAGAACTATTCATATTTCTCTGTCTCTTACTTTCACTCAACTTTCTTAAATAAATCCCATGAGAGTAGAATAACTTTTCTGAGCACTTCTGAAAGAGACTGAGTTTGAAATAAAAAAAAATTTCAAAAGCTCACATTTTCTTCATAACACTATCTGCATCCTATTTGCATGGACACACCCACAGATTCCATGAGAGTGGGGTAGGTACAATAGCCACAGAGAAAATACTCATTTCTGTACAATGTCTGAGCAATAGCTGTGGAATAATGTGGGGGGAAACAAAAAGCTTTGTGCACACATTTTAAACGGCCACCCAAGGGATGGACAAAAATCAGCTGCTGAGTGAAGCTAGTTTTTAACTAAAGGTTAAAATTGCACAGAAAACTCCACTCTGCAGCCCTCTGCAGGAGGGCTAGTTATTCCTAGCTGTACCATAATTTCTGGTGGTTTTAACACAATTCACTTCATGAAAAATGTTATCATCTCTTTCTCTTATGCCTGGTTGAGTCCAGCATGTATGTATCACCCTCGTTTATTTCAAATGGCAGAAGCAATAAAAAATTAAAAGAAATGGAGAGACTTACAGCAATTGTACAGCCGGTTCAGTTTCTGGAGATCATAATCACTGAAATCCATTCGCTGTCCTATTACATCGATGAAGTCTGGTATGTTAGTAACAATTGTGGGTTCAGTTCCATTCCTGAATGCAGTTTTGCTGTAGTGCAGCACAGAAGTATAGTCATAGGGAACATTGAGGGAGTCTGATGTTGTATCATTATATTTCAAGAAATTATGTTCTCTACCTAAACAGGAAAAATAAAAGGAAAGACTGTGGCCCAAGAACATCAGGTTTTGATGTACAGGCTTAAAGTTACAAACAATTCATCAGATCGCCAAGTATTTTCTTTAGTCATTTACTTTTACTTACTCTGCAAAACTATTTTATTTCTAATCTAGAGTTTCCTCTTTCAGCCACAGTAACATAACATTATGACTTCTGCTTGATGAAGGAACGCTTTTTGCTACCAGAAAGTATTTCCTCGTGAAACTACCCATAAACTTTGATGGGCTTGTGATACCCAAAAGTGGAGATACTGTTTCAGTACTCACATGAATGCGATTTGCAACTGTAATGCCTCCCCGATTATAATCTGTATTCTCTGATGGTTAATAGTTGGTTATTTTGGCTCACGAAAAACAAGCTAGAGTTGTCATCAGATAAGCTTCCAGAATTTAACTTTACAGACATTTTCTGGAGTATGAGCAAAAAAACATTACTAACTACCCAATGGAAGGCAAAGTTTTAAATGGTTTGAATTAGTCAAAATACAGTAACTATATTCTGATCAGCATAAAAAAGACGCAGCAGTTTCAAACGGCTAACATTAGTGCAACTTGTCATTAAAGAGTCAGCAAAATATAATGGAAATCAAATAACAGAGTCTAAGTAATTTTCTATAATATATACTTGCACATGCAAGTGCAAGTGACTATTGATCACAACTAAAAAAGAATGCATTAGATTTAATCATTATCTATTTTTTTCAGTCTTCTGTGCATACCTGTGTTAGGAAAGTATAATGTCTGTATACATAACTTGGGTTTTGAACTGCCTGAAAGTCCCAGAGGATGATGGCAAGCTGAAGAGGCAGAGACAGAGCAGTCCCAAAAAGCCCTGTGTCAGCTCTCAAGCTTGTGCCAAATATGCCAACATTGACATTCACAAGCCACATGGCTAAAGTAACTGCTCGCATGATGTGGACCCTGAAAGGGGTCTCTCCTGTACACACACCCTGTCTGCATGCTCTGCTCTCAGCTCGGCTGCCCGCACCCACGGTAGAAGCCGGGGAGGAAGAAGATGACAGGTGGTCACACCAGCTTTTTCAGAGAGGGATTTTGTTTTGTTAAGAGCTCCCAGACTAACAGTGATTTTAGAGTATTCATTTAAACAAATAAAAATATTTATTTTCTGCTGCTCTGCTGTGGCATTACTCTGAGCTCTGTAGCATTACCCTGAGCTACTTAAAGCTCTGGGAACGGCCGTGGCACAAGGAATAATCACAGCAACAAAAACCAAGGCTTTATGTCCCAAAGAGGTATTGCTTGTCCCAAAGAGATATCACCTGTCCCAAACAGATTGCACTTGATATTTAATTTGTTGATACGCTGGCTTTGAAAAATAAGCCTGGGTAAAAGAATAGTGTGACCACCAAAGGATGGCTGGAAGGGATGTTCCACAGCTAAACCCCCTAACTTCAGAGCCTGAAAAGAAAAGCAGGTGAGTGACTGACCAGCCTGAATCCTGTCCCAGATGATGGACACATAGTCGTCCCGGTCAGACCGTGACTGCTCATGCCAGAATCCCAGGGCATGCAGGAACTCATGCTGAATCGTCCCAATCCTGTCGCAGTTGGCTCCAATGGAAAGCTGCTGTAACCCTATTTGGCGGTTTCCCACGGAGGACCAGCAGCTAGCATTGAAATAAAATGAGAGAGGGCTCTGTGAGATACATACCATCCCCATGACACGTGAACTCCAGAATCACACTGTCCAACAGGTATAATTTTAACTTGTGCACTGAAGTTACATTTTGCTACAGAGAGCACTTTTTCATTGATCAGTTCCTTACCAGATCTTTTCCTCCTACATTTAGCTGTTTTGATGAACAAGTGGTTCCCCTGTTCTGACTCTGCTGTTTTTAATGGGTTTTCTTTAGCAGAAAAGTGTTTAGCTATTTGTGGTAGAATAAAACTCATGAGGATTTCATTGGTGTTCTGGTAAACCTCACTATGGACACATGATTTAGAGCAACTGAGTTACTGCAAATTAACATTTTTTAGCAGGACTACAGTATGTGACTGTGAGTGCACATTGAGTCTGTCCCTACCATAAGGGGAAGCAGGTTCATACAAATCCTCGCCTCTGCCATGGTCTTTCTCTTCATGAGGGCCTGTATCTGCCAGGTAAGGTGCCCTTCTGCATGGCTGTGTTTGCCTTCCAAAAGGCTGGTGCATTTGCCAGTGCTTTTCATAAGCTCCTTTCTTTCTAGCTATTTGGAGATACTGCACTACAGCGCTTGATGCTTAGACATGCTCACATGGAAGAGCAAAACTGCAGCTGTGCAGCAAGTTTTTATCAAAGGATAAAAAAGTTTAGTGAGCTATCTGCACAAGCCAATAAAATGGCACCCTGTGTCCAGAAACTAGCAAGCAGAGACAGCTACATTTAAATTGATATTTTATGCAGCAAATAAATCAATGCTTACCCACTGAAGTTCATAAAATTAATCAGGCACAAAATATGCCATAGTATTTGCAGTCCCATCACCCCAGAAATTCAAAAATGCAAGCACACCATGTGCTTTTGAACCCTTATTAGTGCAACATATTCCCCAGTATTTCTCATTCCACAAAGCAGCACAGGCCTTGGCTATTGACTACTCATTAAAATCACAACATGAGACCTGAGAAGGAGCACATTTGGCATCCATAATTTCACAGCCTTCCCTTGAACAAGGCCTCATATTGATTTAGCAGCTTTTTCTTCTGTTGTGCAGAAGTCAAAGAAGTCCATCACAGATCTGGGTCCACCTCAAACCAAAGCAGCTGCCTCTGGCTTCACAGCTGCTGCACAGTGCACAGGCTGCAGGCACATCCCCGACACTTTCCAAAAAAACCCAGCATACAGATTCCCTTTGCTTCAGACTACCAAATGCCCACACTGCCATCTTTCTGCAGCCGCTGACGGAGTAAATACATGGTCTGCGTTGCCCAGCAATGAGAATAAAACTAGGTGAGTGGGACACATCACTCCAGAGCAATGGGCACCTGGAACCCCATGTTAGAAGTGTCTTCAGTAGAAGAGAAAATGGGAGGAAAGTCTCAGTCTCCTCAAGTGTGTGGGAGCTGTATATCCTCTCATTCATTGCTTTCTGTATGGCCAGTTGCTCTGTCAGAGGCTAGAGGAACAGGGAAATACCTGCTCTGACTAATTGCACCAGCCTTCTTTTTGGAAGATGGTTTGTAAATAGATACATGTCATCTGCAGTGATGATGCCACTTATTTAAGCTGCATTTTTCTGCTAATGTCCTGCTAATTAATAACTTCCCATAGTATCACAGATCAGCAGTATCAGACAGACGCTTTGATTTACCAACATCAAGCTGGTTAGCCAGGGATCTGTATCGATCCACTTCTGCATTGGTTCCCTTCACCACGTGCCACAGCAGCCAAGACCTGAAGTGACCTCACAGGAGCGATCCATGAAAACCTGATTTTCCATGTGGAAATATGAGAGGAGGCGTTGAACCTCCCTAGTCTGCTAACCATTCTACTCTATCACCTCTCTGAATGAGTCCTGCTCTTCATGAGAAGAGTAGGGAGAAGTGGCACATCCGTTGCAGGTTCCCAGACTGCGCTGTGAGCTTTGCAGGCACTTGCCACACCTCATGCTCGTGCATTTCTGTAATTACAAGCATCCCTCATGTATTTTTCTCAGCACACAGGCTGGAGTCAATAAAGGTCTTTAAACAGACCCACAGCCTAATCTCTGCTGCAGATGCATAGATGTGAATAGAGGGTGAGGGGAAAGGCTGGGTGTTAGAAAAACTACATGTGCCTCTACTCACTTAGGGTTACAAATATATCTATGTTAACATAATACAGGCAGTAGCCAAGGCTTGGCAAATGGTAGATAAAGAATGTGGATAGGGAGAGGGCTCTGTGCAGGGACTGATGACACTGTGTACAGACATCAGAGACCACAAACATATTTTTCAGAGGACAATCAACACAACAAAATGGCAGCTGGCTTCTTTCGTGGCTGACTTCATCTGAATTCAAAAGGATAATCCAGATGAGGACTTTATGGCCTACTACAAACTCTCTTGACACAAAGTTCCTCCACCTTCCTCTCTCTGTTTTATAAATGTCGAGATTGGAGAGGCAAAGATAACTTATCAACTTTTTCTTGGTGCGATAAAACTTTATGAATCTGGCTGTCGTTGCCAGGAACTTTGTGCTCCTCTCTGCACTGTGTTCTCTGGACTGAGGTCTTTAGTCAGCAGTTAGAAGAGCCTGAGCTGATTAAAACATAAATAATTAGGAATGGCAGAGGGGAAATGGGTTGGTTTACCCACCCGAAAAGGCAGTTAATGCAAGGACAGTCCTGATAATCTCTTTGTACAGCCTGAAGCCAGCTCACTGAAACTGGACAGCCATTTTCAGGAGATTGCACTGTGTAGTTTGGCTCCAATCTTTCAAAAAGTGCTGTTTAGTATTAGTTATTACATGGATGTGTCCACTGGGATGACAGAAATCTTTCAGGGCAAGCAATACACCAGGCAGTGAGGGCAAGATATGTTATCCAACTAGAGTGACTTGTCTTCTTCATCAGCATGACTCATCTATTTTTAATAAACATATAAATGAAACATTGTGCAGAGGCCTCTTACTTGCCATAGGCTAAATACTGTGGTTGTTTTTCAGGTACAATTATTAGCAGATTCAATGCATAGTTTATATGACGAAGGACTAAAAAATTCAGCTACATGAGTTTTCCATTTGGCTCAAAAAAGCTGAAGAGTCATTAGCACAGGAAAATGCATTGCTCTCTAAGTCTCCACTTATACATCTTTTAGGGTTGAGTTTCAATGCCATGGGTACAGCATGAAGAGTGGAATATATAAAGAGCCAGAGACTGAAGAAATTTGGAAACAATTATCTGCTACAAATATCTCAGAACAAGCCAAAGGGAAAGGGAAACATTTTTATTTTCAGAAAATATTTTCCACTTTATGAATGCATTCTAAGATCAGGAAATGATTTTCTGAAAGTAAATTTCCTACTAGGCTATCAAGCTTTCCCTGAACCCCTTTTCTAAAAGAGAAATGTTTCAGCATAAAGCAGAGAATATATTTGTCCTTGTTGCACTGTTTTGACAGAGATAGCCTTATAAACAGAAGCAGCTGGGGCAATTTTGACTTCTTTGCTGGACTCCTATTTTGAAAAATACAAGGTGTAATAGCATAACTATTCATCAGAAGAGGGAAATAAAGTGAAATCTCTGTAAAACATCTCAATGCTATGCCACATTAAAAAAATATCCCTGTTATATCTGAATGCTGGTGTGACATTGTTCAAATGCAATTCCATTTGTTATAGTCAAAAAAATTCATTGTCCCACAGTTAGAACTATCGTATTTCTGCTGGGATCTTTTTCTTCTATTTTTTCTAAAAACTAAGGTGTACTATCAGTGACCATTTGAAAGTGAAACTCCATATATCCAAAGATCAGTCAAGAAAATAATTGTCTCATTTCTGATATCTTTTACCATGTCCAGAAATTTACCTCTTAAACGGCTTTATTTCCTCTTGTATTTAAAAAGAAGTATCAGCAAGAAATTGTTCATTCCTACCAAGGTAATATCGGTTTGGAAATTGCTACAAATTCCAGCTAAAAAAAGACTGGAAAAATGGACACAACAAAACCACAACATTATAATCAGATATGTGACTTTTAGAGTGAATGCTAGCCATGAAAATAGCCTGCAACCAAAAAGAGTGATATTTTACTCTTCTTACCCACTTCCTTTGAACACATGTATGTAATTCTTCTCCCCTTCCCAAGTTTTGAAGTCAATACAGGTTTTCAGTCGATACTGTTCAAATGCCTTGAGGATGAGTCCCTTAGCATTCATTTCTGCAAAGAAAACAGTGTTCTTGTCAACATTGAGCCAATAGGTTTATCATATTATTCGTACCGAGCAAGTCCTAAGGGTAGGTCTTGCTCCAGCAATCTTTGATCAAAATAAGCAAGCTTTTTGCTAGATTAAAATCTGAGTAGGGACCAAAAAAACATAAATAAGGTTGTTGTGACATTATATCTTCCTCCTTTTTAATTTCTATGTAATTTTTCTTTGCTACTTAGGTGGAAATATGACATAATGAGCATATAGAACATGATAGTGTGTGGTTGTTAATTTTGTATCTTCTTTCATTTAACTTGGTGAGACTTAAGTGAGCAAATATTCAATAAATAGGGAATGAAGACACCATGCAGATGCAGGCTACATCTTTCTCACAGAATCTCTTCTGCTAGACTTGAACTGCTAACATTATATCTGGGTTCTCTCCTCTAAGCAACTTGACTAGTTTCAACCCAGTTTAGATCCGAATCTAAACTAGAGGTGGGTGATTTTTTATTTTTTTTCCTTCCAGGCGCCAGAAAGATGACCCCAAGTTGTGTAGTGAGGGCACAATCTCACCATGTTAATACACTAAGAACTCAAGCTCCCTGTCTCACTACTCACCTCGGCCGTGCAGAACCACAGCTGAATGGATTCAAAAGGATGGAGACAAACCATGATGGGTCCCTGGGCCACATCAGGGGACTCAGCAATGAGCCATTGCAAACTGTATTGTCTGCCAGAATGCCAATTTGCCATTGGTGCTGTAGATGAGCTAAGTGGCTAAATAAGCTTCATGGCTCTAAAAAGCTCTTCAGTGCCCTGGTTTTTTTCTTCTGATTAGTAGATTTTCACATCTCAGACACATACCTTTAAAATCAAATCAATCTGCTGGGCCATAGCAATGGCAGGATAAGAACCATCCAAGAAAAGAGCTGAGAGCCAGCACCAACACCACGGTGATGCACCCTGCTGGCGCCCACCCAGGGCCAATTCTGTTGTAGGAAATGGCCATCTCTAGACTTGTGAGAGGAAATGATGCCACAGTATCTTTATCAACCTGTATTTAACATTTCAGTCAACATGACATACAGATATTGTCAAGGGCAAATACGGTACCCAGGCTATCATCAAGGACGTAGGGGACAATGTGGGGCCATCGATAGTTGTCACCAATGATGGAGTTTCGTTCCTGCATCTGAGAAAGAAAATAAGTATGAAGTCTTCAGAAAAAGTGATTTAGGACAAGTCAGTACAACAGTGCCAAAAAGAGCATGTCTCCTACAAGTCCATGTAAGACATATAAGAAGTCAAAGAGATCAAAAACTTTCAAAGATTGCTCAGAGGTCTCAGGCTTGGATTTGAAATTCCTTCGCTTTTACCGGTATCTCCCATTTCTGCAGCATTTTCTCCATAGAAATTACCTAAGATTTTCATGCATATGTGAGAATAGCTTCAGCCCCTGTGGGAAGCATTAAAATTTAAAGTCCTGAAAACTGCACAGAGATTAATAATTTTGTATTTTTCCTTAATGCAAGGGTTTGCTCCTGTGCCCTTAGCAAGTATTTTCCTTGCTTCCTCTGATACATTCAGGCCAAAGCAGTTCACCAAAAGGGAGAATAAAACACTATCAACTTTCAGAGGTACTGACAGGACTCTTTGCAGATTTCTACTAGGTGTTTTTGAGATGTAACTTGCTATGTAAATAATTTAATTTTTCAATTGACCAGACAGGGAGACTGGACAGCTGCTTCAAAATGTGGTATTATAAATCTAATTTTTCCATTGGTTTTAGTGAATCTACTTAAGGTTTTGCAGCACTGCTCTGTAAATTTGATTGGCTTATAATAAATATTGTACAGATAAATGAAGAATCTTTTATATAGACCTGTCTGGACGATGACCAGTGCTGCTGAATGTTGCAAGTTCAAATACAAAAAACATAATAAAGGAAACAAGAAGATAATAATAGTGATCTAATGGCTAAACTGACCTTACTCTGGATAATGTTTCTGCAAATGCACTTGACTCCGTCATTGTCTTTGACATTTTGTGGAAATCCAACCCCAAACATTTTCAGTTTATTGTTACATAAACTGCATTTATTGTTAATAGGAGCAGGATGCATCAATCATTTCCATGCCAGTGATACTTTACATTGCGTAAGTTAGTGACACATTTCTGATTTAATATTTTATATTTGAACTCACCCCGTCAAGTTTGATGTCTCCCTCAAAAAGGTCTAGTCCTAAAGCTAAAGGGAACAGGAGATTAGCATTCAGTTATTGTATTGATCTTTAGCTACTGTAATGAAAATTATCAAAAAAATCAAAAGAGAAACTGAATTTTACAAAACCTTCATTGATGTCAAAGATGTCTCGATCAATTCCTCCATCTACATCTATTTCTGAAAAATAAAAAGACAAGTGAGGTAGGACATTAGCCCTTGCTGTTATCTTTATGAAGTGTGAAAATTAATGCAATAACAATAATTATAAATCTGTGTCTGTCCTAGTGATGCTTATGAGCAGCTGGTTTTGTTGACTGCCTCCCGTGCATACAAATAGATTTCTAAACAGAACTCACCAGTTGTCTCTGGAGCGGGCTGGGGAGGGAGAAGAAAAAAAAGATATTATTAGAAAGGCACATAATGAAATGCAGCTCGCGTTACTCTTTCAACAGTATTAGAGACGCGATTTAAGCTCAACTGACAGCACTTAGTGAATGGCTTTGTATTGGATTGACTGGACCCTCTGCCTCCGCATCTGAGTGGAAATGTTTATTTGTTTATCTGTCAGCTTTGTGTTCTCCCTTCAGGCTGCCCAGCAAGTAAATTGCCCAGTGCTGCTTCTGTGAAATCTTCACAACCGTTTTTCTCTCACAACTCAGACCATTGCTGAATGGTCCTCCACAAATGGGAAAAAAGAGCCTATTATTTCAATGAAATCAAGTATTGCTACCAGTCTGGAGCTGCACAGAACCTATGGAAGTTATGCTTAACTTTCCATCATAAAGCTGAAGACGGGGGAATAGAATGAGCAGTCTGGCCTCAGCAAGTCTGTTAAGGACAGGGCACAGAGCACAGGTCACCTCAGCCCCAGCTCAGTGCCTGTAGCTGGGCTCCATTCACCTAAGCAACACCAACACAAAGACTTGTTCTGCAACATGTAACATCCACAAACCATAATATGATATAATGAGATACTCACAGCATGTTTTCCTTGCCATAACATGCCTATAGATTATAATCTATACTGTGCAACTGGACTAGACACTTCATTTTGAATGGACCGCCTTGGACATACTTAACACTACACAACTGTTTCTCAGGCAGTGAGTAAAATCCTGAAAAGCCTTTCTAAGCAATTGCTGGGTGGATTTTCCTGTTTCTCATCAGAAATCTTGTATTCAAGTGTTTGGAAAGAAGTTCACAAACTGAAGGTAAAAAACACCCTTAAATTATAAGCTCTGACAATACAGGTTACAGGTATAGCAAGTGGTAAGGTAGAACAACAATTCTACTTTTATTTTTACTATAGTTCCCCTCCCCACCTCTGACCATTTTTTTTCTCCATATAAAAAATTTGTTATCTTTCCTACAAGCAGTTTTACATGTAGGACTTATTTTTCCAGTGTGATAAGCATCTGCAACCTCCATTAGAAGCAATGAACAGTACGAGACCAGAATGTTGAAAATCAGCTAAAATCAAGTCCATGCAGTACATAAGAACATTAATTGTGGTAATTCCTACCATATGTATGATGGATGAGAAAATAGTACGGCCAGAATATTCAAGAGATATTCAAATGCACATGTTCTTCTAGAATATAATGATAGGAACAATTTTCAGGGCAAATATAACTGTGAGCCTTAAGACTGATGGTATTCATAAAAAAAAATAACCAAATGCATAAAAAAAGCCTCCTTCAGTGAAATTTCTTCATTTGGAAAAGGTTCAGAAAGAAAGCTTTGAAATTGTCTGTATGTCCTATGTTAGCTTTTTTCATGGAAGATTCAAATTCAATCTGAAATGACTGTGTTGTGCAAACGTCAACAAATGGCAGAAAAAATATTGTAAATATAAAAGCATGGAATTTCATTTAATCATTTTGATACACCTGAATTAAATTAATTCAAATTGGTGCTTCACAGGTTTTTTCAGATTTTGATCATTTATTCTGATTTCCTAAGAGGGGAAAACGATGTTTGCCTAAGTAGATGCTGTAATTTATAGGTTTAAGAGAGATAATGCCTAATTGGTATGAGCTGCCATAATGTTTAATATCTAAATGTTACATAAACAAGAAATGGTTTTAATCAGCTTCTGCTGATGCTTCTTAATTTTCTTAAAGAAGACTACTATCCATATATGTCTTTTCCTGGTCCAAAGGCAAAATTTTGACCTTGAAGCGTCAGTTACAAAAAACTTTGAGTAGAATCTGCTTCCTGACTTGATTTCTCCAGAAACAGCCCTGTTTTAATACTTCACAGTTTTAGGTTGTTCCAAAAGTTAGTAGATTCTAAGATACCTGACGCTTAAAAACCCAGTGTCACTGTGGAAAAGTGACCGAATCCACTGACAAACTGTTTCCAGACTTGGGCAGGTGCAAATGCTAAAGGACTGATCTTGATCTTGCATTTCACTGAGTTAACTGTTATTATTTAGGTTTACATTGATACATGAGGATTAAGGATAGGGACTTTAGGAAAAAAAACCAAAAAAACGCATATAACTGTATATAGATATAGTTAATAAACCAAAATATATTCTCCAAACAATCAATCCATACATCTGCAATGCCAATGGACTCCTCTTACATTCTGAAGTTTTACTCCACATATATGATCTCATTACATTTTATTGTCACTGGATATGCATAAGACAGTATCCAATCCACGTATTCAAGTTTCAAAATTAAAGTGCAGCCTGTAAAACAAGCTGAGAATACATGAGCAAAGCATGTAACACACACGTTGAAGACTTCGTTTGCTTTTAAACTCCCACTTTCACCTAGATTTCTAGCTAACATGGAAGGCAGAAAAAAGACAAGTAAAGCTTGGAGTATTCAAAAATTAAAATCACATTATTGTCTTTTCTGTAAAAGATTGTTGATGGAGGAGATGAATCATACCTATATTTGTTGAAACCTCTTATAACCATTAAGGGAGAGTAAAGTGTTTCTACAGTTTCAATAGTTATAAACTACAATATCTCCGTATGATCTAATCAGAAAGCATAACTGTGCTAAAGGTTAAAACTGGCTAGCTCATGGAAAAGTTTCTCTATCAGCAGCATAACTCCAAATTGAGATCAATGCAGCTAAGTGCAGCAGCACGTTTGGTGAGTAAAACAAAATGTGAGTCGATGACTGAAGAACATCAAATTCAGCAACTGACTGAAATACAAGCTGATCCTCAGTGTCTGGAAACTGTTGCTGAATGTTTTATGCTGAAGGAGTCCCTTTCATCGCTCCTTTCCACTTCCCTCTAGGGGGAACTAGGTCTTTAGTCCCATGAATCTCAGCAGAAAAACACTCAGTTTCAAAAGGCGTATCTCTGTGTACAAGGATTTACGTGTCCAAAAGCAATGGCTTCCATCTCGATACCAGCCTGACTACTGAGACCTACATGATGCATTTCTCTGTAAGTTTTATCCTTTCACCGTTCACAGTGATTCACCTTTCACAGTCACATGCAGAGGAAGGTTATATTATCTGCAGTGTGGCAAAGAGGAATCTCATTTAGTCTAACCAATGCTACTTTTAAATCTACACATGCACAAAAATCTGAACATTTACAATATTAGTCCCTCAGTTCAGCAAACAATATGGTTTATGTGAGTTAAGTCACATCAAAGGTTGGTCAAACCATGACTTGTAAGCACATTTAATTGGCAAATAATTCAAGTGCATCTTGAATAGGTGGGAAGCATCTCACCTATTTTAGTCACAAAAAACCCTAGGTAAGTAGACTCAGTAAGAAGTGGAGAAAAAAAATAATTTCATATACAATTAATCTGTCCTTAAAATAGGTATGGCACCACTATGATGTCCTGGCATCTCCAGAGGATAATCCACCTCATGTAGCTTGGACAGCTATTCACAGATGTGATAAATCACCCGATGAAAATTCCACCACCTCACTACGGACTTCAGATGGTGTACAGCCAACCAGTTTAGACAAGATACCTTATCAGTGTTTTCTCCAGACTACGTAACTTCTAGTACTGGCATCCAGAAACACATAGGAAGCTCTTCCTGGCCATAAGGCACATGAAAATGAAATAACTAGTCATGGTGATTAGAAGCTCCACTCTCACACAGGAGTTGGTCATTTCAATGTGTGATAGCTTGCAGATGCCAGTAGCAGTCTGCATCACCTACCATGTGCTTTGTCAAAGCCTGCAGAGGAACCTAAGCAAGACTTCAGTTCCCAAAAGGTTGGGAATTGAGGAACAGGTAGTCATGATAGGCAGTGGAAATACAAGAGAAGTGTGAGGTTGGGGTAGAGGGGTAAGCAGGAGGACTATGGGAAGGTTGAGGACATGAAGTTGAGCTCTTGACTTAGGGAGATGTATGAGTGTGTGTCAGTGGCGAAGAAGAGGAAACAACTGCCACAGTGAGATACTGCAGCTGGATTCACAGAATTAGACAGTTAAGTTGCATAACTTAAAATAGATAATGTTATTCCACTTAAGTAATACCTTTCTCTGTGGACTATCCTGAAGCTATGAAGAGCTGAAATGAACTTTCAACAACCTACTGGGTTTTGTTCTCCAAACTAATTCTATTGTGTATTGCCAGAATTCCTGGCCTCTACAATAAACTATCATAAGATAAGAAAAATGCTACATTTCACTACAAAAGAGAGGAAATACAAAATCTCAATTCTTACTTTTTGGCATTAAATAGTTCATCTGGATTGGAAGAACAGAGAACAGTAATTTCCAAATATATGCAGTGTCTGAAAAGGCATCCATTTCAATATCAAATATACTGTGTTACAGAAAAAAAATCCTATTTCCAGTCAAATATAGAGTAGCAAAATAAATTTTAATACTTATCTTGGTTCTAACCCCAGACTTGCTATTTTGATAACAGTACACTGAATATTAGTGGACATTTTGCTTAGATGGGGAACGCAAGATAAGCTCTTTCCATGAATAGCCAGGCCTATTAAAAATAGCAGCACTAAGACCCAAGGAAACAGAAATTTTTATCTCTCTTCCAGGCAGATCACAACATAATTCTTATTTTGCAAAAGCAACATACTTAAGTCTTTTCCTCTCATACTCATCTTTATCTGCATTGCTTACTCGGTCATATAAAGAATATATGTATTCTTTGTTTTCTTACCTGGGTCCAGACCACTTGAAGAAGAAGGCAAGTCAGGAGTGTAGACATAGAAAACCAGCCCATGTTGTTATTCAGTCAGCAGCTGCATGGACAGAATTTCAGACCAACTTGGTATTTAAGACAGTAAATATCATAAATCAAAACCTTTGTCCTTTTATCAACGATTAACTTACCTACCTTTTTCTTGTCCAGTAAGCGAAGTTCATCATTGCTGTATTATGGTAACTGACATATACTTTTAACTATTTTTAAGCACTGCTGTGAGAAAAAGTATGGGACACAAACTGACATACAGGATGAAATGGGCACAAGAAAATGGGAATACAGAGGAAATGAACACTTTGAAATATAGGAAATTCCATTTAAATATAACAACACTTTTATTCTAAGGATTTTTAACCATTGGAACAAGTTGCCCAGAGAAGTTGTGGAATCTCCATCCTTGGAGACAGTCAAAACCCAACCACACACAGGCCTGAACAACCTGCTGCAGATGACCTTGCTGCAAGCAGGGGGACTGGACTAGGTGATCTCCAGAGGTGCCTTCCCACTTCAACTATCCATCCTGTGATTCAGTGAATAAAGCTGGCACTAAAACCTCATGAACAATTGAAAGCTAGCAAGACTCTTAGCAGGTATGATGTTAATGTATTAGTAAAACTGGTTTCGATGACAGAAAGTGAAAATGAGAAATGTATGCAACTAAAAAAAAAATCTGTCATCAAAATCATTTCAGTATCTTGCCTTTAGGAAAGGCAATGTCATTTCTGTTGTTGATGAATTTGAAACACTGTATTTGTCAGTAAATCATATCATGGTATGCTTCTGGACTACTTAAAAAATCCATTCAAAATAATTTTTTTTATGGTAGTACCATTGTACTATCATCACTCTCTGTACTCTTCGGAGCTTTAGTTTCTTCCAACTTCAACCATATCTTCTTCTTACTGTCGAGGAGTGCTGAAATTGGCACAGTTTATTCTTACACTTAAACTGAAGATTCTCATGGTAATTGTATGACCAGACTTGACTAACATTTCACCTTCCCAGACCAACTACCTGCTTGCAACATCAAAAAACCTAAAAATGCCATTTAGATTTTGTAAATACAGACTACCAAAAGATTATATCAAAAGTAATATAATTTCTCTTACTATTCCAAGTATCAGTGCTGATAAGAAAGCAGTTGATCCTAAGTAATGAGGACACCAGAGCAATTTCTAGATGCTCAGATCAGCACTTATTTCATTGCTGATCCATTGAGAAGTAGCAGTTGTGCATGTAGCAATGATTTGGACAGGGCTATGAAACTGGTGAAGAGTCTAGAGAATAAACCTTATGAAGAGTGGCTGAGGGAGCTGGGGTTGTTTAGCCTGGAGAAAAGGAGGCTGAGAGGAGACCTTATTGCTCACTACAACTACCTGAAAGGAGGTTTAAGCAAGCTGGGGCTCTATCTCTTCTCCCACATAATAAGCAATAGGATGAGAAGAAATGGCTTCAAGATGTGCCAGGGGAAGTTTAGATTGGATATTAGGAAAAATTACACCACTGAAAGAATTGTCAAGCATTGGAGCAGGCTGCCCAGGGAAGTAGTGGAGTCACCATCCCTTGAGGTATTTAAAAGACATGTAGATGTGGTGCTTAGGGACATGGTTTAGCTGTGGTCTTGGCAGTGCTAGGTTAACGGTTGGACTAGATGATCTTAAAGTTGTATTCCAACTTAAACAATTCTATGATTCTCTATTGTTGTTCTTATAATGTTATTATTTTTCAACAAAAATAAGTATTGTAATCCACAACTCAACAATAATGATGATGTCAATTGTTCTCAAATCAGTGATGTTTGGAATGTTGAAAAGCTCTTTTGTCAAGATTTCTTCAGCAAGTGCAGCAGTTTTTGAGTTCTGCACACTGTCATCTTTTGCTGCTGGGAAACGATGGTAGTTTTCCTTTTGGAGGGTCTCCAGGTTAGATTTGCTATGTCCACAGTAAAAAGTACTTTGAAACAACTGGAACAGATTTACACGTTGAAACATGTCGTGCTATGAACCTGGTGTCTGTGCTGTACACATCTCAAAGGGTTTTAACTTCAGACTGGCTCTGATTTGATCTCAAGGACTGGATGTCAGTGGTGGCAACTGGACGGCATTTGGCAGGTGAAGAACATGTTCTGGCTTAGTTTCAAATCGAAGGAATTCAGTCTGGACACTACAAAACTGCTCTGTGATGTGAACTAAAGCATGGCAAGTGGGAATTAAAATGATGATACTTCCTTAAAACATCCACTCCTGAACAAAACTACAAGACCAGTGCAAGTGTTTTCCTGAGATGGTGGAATATGATGAACTTAACACACTTTTTGGTCTTACCATTTAAGTCTTGGAAGAAAGCCTAAAAGTCTAGTTTTCTACTTCTTTGGTCCATTTAACATGCAAATAATCAAGACAATCTGCTCTATGTTCCCACATCCCCATTTCTAAAATGCATCAACCAGCACTGAAACCTCACACCAACCTCTTCACAAGAGGAGACAGGAGGATGATTGTCCTGTCACAAAGAAGGGCTGTATGAACCTCTGTGTCATGACAGTTGCTGTTCTCAGGACTGGCTAAAAGGTGAGTTGCACAAAGAAAACACTAGAAGGTGTTGGAATTGCCACGTAGGGACACCAAACAGAGAAGGTACCACAGTTACATGCTAAACTTGCACTGTAAAATGCAGTTCCTGTACATGTTTTTCTTTCAATTTGCACTGCTTTTTGATTAATTAAACTCAGAGTTTTCACACCTCAACTAAATCATCTGGTATAATAAAACAAGATGCAATGGAAAAAGTAAACAATATATGAACAACAGAACATCAGGACTTTTATGACAGAAGTTCTTGGCATAAATTTCAGTGTGATTCATAAAGTTGCTAAATGTCTTTTTAATACAGGTTGAGGAGAAAGCAATAAATAGATGGGTAGTCTTAAGTAACTTTTTTCTTTTTTTTTTTCTATCTAATCATGAAAGATCTTTTCTAATGGCCTTATCTACTTTTGTGACCATGTTCTCTACAATGACAAACATCTTGCTTTATCACTGACTGTCTATGTTCAGGCAATATACCTACCCTTTACTTTCCTTAAGGGTTTTGCTACATGAATCCTTACATTTTTCCTTGGAAGTGAAAAGCACTATGGCCATATCATACTTCTAAGACCAAGGCCTACAGTAAGAAAAGACTGAGTATTACTGGAAACAGATTAATAAAGGATAGTACAACTTATTTGAACAGATGATGTGAATTTTCAGATGTACAAAGAGAACGGCAGTCTAAGATCTTGTCTTTATGCTACAGTTACCTGGGCATATAACAGCCAAAAGTAATGCACACCCTTTCTGTAGAATTTGACAATGTTATTTCCATTACCATTTTGATCTGTGGGTAGAGTCTGTGAGTGTCCTGACTACAAGCTCTGTATTTGAGGAAAAGCAAAAAACATTAAGCACAAAGCAGAAAGAGCAGGTCTTAGCTGGTTGATTGTTTTCACTTTCTTGCAATTCTTTGTCTTGAACATGTTTCACAACTTCTGTGGGTGCTAAGCTATCTAACCAGCCCTGAGTAACTGTAAGAGACACCTGCAAAATCCAAGCTTTTGCCAGTCAATTAAATTTCTCTCCCCATAGGCCCACGTGTTCCCATGCTCCTAGTAGAAGCAGTGAGAAGGAAAAACCTCGGAACTTCATGTGGAGCTTGCTGCAGATCTATTGCAGTGCCCGCTTCAATCTCCTGCAGAGGTCACTTCTCTGCACCAGACAGACATCTGTCCAGCAGCCCTGGTGCTGGTGGGCACTGCTGCAGCACAGGTAATAACTATTGCAGCAGAAAAAGGAACATTCAGCAGGCATTGTCCAATGCAGATGGGAAGATACACCTGCTTTAGTCTCCTTCATAAAGCTACGTCTGTGAATAATGATCTAGGAAGTGACAGTAATGAGGGCAGAGAGATTGCAAAAAAATGAGTTGAGTACAGGAGAGCAAGAATGCTCTTTTTAAAAGCCAAAGGAACTTAACTGCAGAGAACCATAAAAACAATTAAAACCATCCTTATACAGACAGCCATTTTCTAGCATTTTTTCATAGATAGTTTCTTATCTGAATAGTTTTGTTGATCTGTATTTCAGTATAGATGCTTTGATAATGTTGCCATTGGTATACTGCTCAGTGAACTACTGTGATTGGTTTTTGTATATGGTTGCTTGTTGACAATGGGTGGAACCCGACCATGAGTTTCAATGTCAATTGCCAGTGATATGAATTCATTCAAAAACCTTAAAAAGTTCTGGCTTGTAGAGCATTATGTAGCTCACTTAGCAGTGCTCATAGACCAAATGTCAAAGAGCAGGAGGATATTCAAATGGTACATTATTCTCAGCATATTGTTCCTTGCCCTCTCTCAAATTTCCGGCGTTACCTTGCACAAATTAGTTTTGCTTTTTCTGTTAATCTCTCAAATGGGGATAATAGTATCTCCTGGGCTGATGTGGCAAAACCACCAGTGAAGATAAGGGCTGTCAGATAAACCTGCAACATAAATATTTTGAGTTGAACACCTAAGTGTTTCAAGTTAGGCAATTCCAGTGTTTACAAACCTAGCAGCAGTCATATGGAATATAATGTGAGAAAGTGAAAATTAAAACAGGTATGAAATGCAAGTGTTCCATCTTCTTACAGAGAGGCAAACAAGACATGTTCGCTTTGATTAAGACTATTCAAGAAAACTAAGCAGATCTTCAGTTTCCTCCCACTGCTTAGCTCAGGTAAATTAAAATGCAAGGTTAAAAAGTAAACAGTAGAAGCTTGGGTGTATAACATTGCAGCCCTTTTTGCCCACTGCCACTTCAAGACGTACTTCAACCATTACCTCTTATTTTGTGTGAGAAAACAATCATTCATAAACTAAATAATCACTCATACAGAATTGCATCTCTCCCCCTTTCACAGGAATCTGAATCATGTCTGACATGTTTTTACACAAACATATTTTATGGTAACATACACAAACATATTTTATGGTA